ATGGATGGATGGATGGATGGATGGATGGATGGATGGATGGATGGATGGATGGATGGATGGATGGATGGATGGATGGATGGATGGATGGATGGAAAAAAAAAAATCATGCAAATTGTTTCCTTAGAAAAAGATTTTCTTCCAGTTGATAAAAACATTCCCAGCTCCCACTGGAAATGATGCTGAAAGCTGACAGGCACATGTGCACAAACAGTACACACACACACACACACACACGCACGCACACACACACACACACTGCCAAGTCTAAATCCCCATAGCCCTATTGAGACCCTGTCTGAGTTTGAATGGCATCTTTGCTTTGCCTGACTGGGCCTGTCTCTCTATCATACAGAATCGTTCTGCCCTCCAGCATAGCACACACACACAAACAGGCAAAGAATGAGAGGAACTGAGCAAAAACAAAAAAAAACAGAACAAAAAAGCAACAACAAAAGCAGCCACCTTCGGTTTGTGATTTTTGTGTGTTCGTGCTTGTACAAGACGTACAGTGTGCACACTCGTCTACAAATAAATGCCAGTACTGGCAAAAAATAAATTATACTGAAAGGCTAATGTGGCATTTGTGGCATTTCTTGTGGGTAATGGACAAAAATAACTGGGTGAATTAGAAAATTCAGTTAAACTAACACAATTTAAGCGATTATGTTTTAACCAGCATAGTTTCCTTGCATTCATGTTCACTTTGCGTTTTCATTACTTATAAAAGGTAGCACACGCCTCAGATTTTTATATCTTTTTCATAATATATGACCTTTGTTGCAATGTAAAGTAGTCAGCGTACAGCATGTACAGCAGTCTACATTTTCTGTTGCTAAACCAATAGCAACAAAAATGAGTAGAGCCGCTTTTCTAAAGTAAATAAGAGTTGACTGGCCAATCATGACTATAGAGCTAAACTGTTTTGAGCATCTTTGGTGATAACAGAAGTTGGAGGAGGTCAATGTATCTAATATCCACCAGCTCTGAGATGTTGTCAGCTGGGAATTGAATTAAACTGTGTTGGTTTAACAGAATTTCTAATTCATTCATTCTAATTCATCCAGTTATTTTTGTCCATTATGCACAAGAATTGCCAAATTAGCCTATCGGTATAATCTAATTTTTGCCAGTACTGGCATTTATTTGTAGACGAGTGTGCACACTGTACGTCTTGTACAAGCACGAACACACAAACATCACAAATCGAAGGTGGCTGCTTTTGTTTTCTTTGAGGACAGAAATCGGTTAAAGTGTTTTCCGGACTTTAAAGCACACCTCACCCACAAAGTTGTTTTTTTTTAAACTGGAAATGTACATGTATAAGCCGCACTGGGCCATAAGCCACTGATATGATCTAAACTATCCCACACCCAACCTGTAGGGGGAGCTCTACATATCGCCTCGGTGTACTGACTACTTTATGTATTATAAACGTTTCATATCTACAGTGTTGTCCGATGAAAAGGCAGAATAAAATAAAAAAAAATATACAACTACTTTTTTGAGTAACTGCAGTTATTACAATTCAAAAATCTGTATTTAAGTTGTTAAAGCTAAAAGATTTAAATACTCTTATCACAGTAAACATCATGATAAGTAAATTAAAGGTGTTTTTTTAACATTATTAAATAGATGTAAATTTTGATTTATTCACTGTATAAAAATATACATACGTAGAGAGAGGAGATTTATACGCATATTCAGATGTTTTTAATTTTACTTACTTGCATTCATGTTTTCCTATAAGAAAAAAACATTTTATATAAACATTCTCTCTTATCTAAGGCAAACTCTTACTGGCCTGAACAAGGATTAGTTTACTCAATATATTTTCATTTTAATTAGTTCCTTCACTCACCTGACTGCAGATTTTGGTATGGATCCATACAGCAGTGAGCTGAGTCCTCGATACAGTCCTTTAACACCGTGACTCTGCACCGTTTGCTTCACGCAGTCACCTGTAGGAGAGAAAGATAGGACCATGAATGAAAAACAGATTAACACAACCATTAACCTATTGGTTAAACTATCTGGTTTCTACAGCAAGACATTAAATTAATGGTTTACAACTTGATGGAGTAAAAGCAAAGTCTTCTGAGTCTTTTAATTTTTGGACTGTAAACGAAGCAGGAAAAATGAATATATTAGTTGGGAGAGAAAAAAATGGTTACCATGGCTTATACAATACACGAGAGGGCATCATCTGTTGGAGAGGAAGTGCTTTTTTTAAAACTTTTTTTTAGCAATTTTTCTCCTTTTAAATCAAGCCTCTCCTCTCTGCACTGAAATCACAGATCCAGATCGTTGTTCTCTCGGACATCACTGGCATTGCAGATCTGATTTCCACAAATAATGGCATGTATTTTCTGTTCTTTTCTTTTATTGTCAATTTAATTCAAATTCAGTTAATTTCTGTTAATTTGTTAGTTGACTCTAAATCAATTTCTCACACCGAGCACATACACAGTAACAACAGAGAGAGAGGAAAAACTCCCCTTTAACAGGAAGAAACCTGTTCATGAACTGCGTTTTGATTTTTGTCTCCTGTCATCCTATTGGCCCTGTATTTAGATTAGATTATTACAATGTTCTGGTGAATAATTAACACTGTAAGTGTGCTCAGCAGTATTTAGTAATAGGGTTGATGAATACTGTGTTTGTTAATAATGTGACAACAATTCTTAATGTTACAATAACTGTGATGGGACAATATAATAATATAGACTGCTCAGATTATCACCACAATATTTTTCATCAAAATGGTCAGCTTTTTAAAAGGTGCAGATTAAAAGTTTTAATTTTACTAAATTGTTTTTGGTATACAAGTCCAAAATATATTCTGGTCACCAACATTGCCCCAAATGATTCTGTGTCTGTAGGAATAGGTTGAATTTATGAGTCGGAGCTCTGGCATTGACAGGTCGTTGTAGCTCTGCTATAGCTCTGAGAAACGGCTTCCTCTCTGCATTATGTTTGTTAGATTCAAGCAGATCAAAAAAGAAGCCAAAACCAGGTGAACATCGGTTAAACTTTTAGGAGTTGGCGTTAACCTAAAACGGCAAAAAGGTTCAGAACCCACATGGAGGTTGCCTCTTTCCTTCTGAACAAAACCTGGCAACCCGCTGGCAAACAGCACAAGGTTGAAACAAGAGCAGGGGAGGGTCAATGCACCACCAACTGGCCAGGAGGACTGAAACTTGGAGCAATCTCTTTTAAATCCTAGTTTTTTCTTAAAGAAATAAGTTTTCCTTAAAAATTGACTCTGCTCCTGCACAGACACATTAGTCCAGTAATCCTCTCGGCGGAAACCAATGCACAGCCAAGCAAGAAAGCAACAGCTGTCACAAGTGCTAATTAGCACCACATCCAATCCTCAGAGCTCCAGCAGACACCAGCAGATTTTGGCTGTGTTTGCGCATGATGGGATGCACAGATAACGAATGTGCATGTGTGCACTGGTCTGTTCTGAGTCATATAAACAAGCACGGTGACAGCTTGACGTACCTGAGGATGACAGGTAATTGGAAAATAAGATCCAGAAAAGGAAAATTAGACAGCATAGATACCTATTCCTTTGTATTTCGGAGGGTTGGCCTTCTCATCCAGCTGTAGCTGGGTTTTCACATACTCTGTGGGGAAAGTAATGCAGATCTCTATTCCACCGGCAATTCCACCTGGATAAAAAGAAAGTCAGAGTTAACATCCTATGGAGCACATATTGAAATCAACAGATTCATTCAAAACTAAAACTCTAAAGTGAAGATTTAAATTTTTTGAAAAAGCGTGTTTTATTATGTGCTGAAGAGCTTAGTTTACATGTCTCACAAATGTAATTCAGCGATTACCATTTTACTTTTCCAACAGTGATCTGGGCACCCCAGATGGACACAAGGAGGTCAAACATGAACAGCCAAACCCACCAGAGGAGGGCAGGCAAGATGACCCGGGGTTCAGGGGTTACAACACCTCACGTCAGGCCTGGCAGCCACCAGGAATGAGACAGAGCCCACCGAAGTATGCAACCCGTACCTAGCTCTCATCAGCGCACCAGCAGACACAGGCCCCTCCCATTAGCAGGGAGCATAAGAGACAGGCCCTGCTCAGACCAAAAGCCTAGGATGTTCCAGTAGGTGGGAGGGGAGGCAAACACTCAACCTGACAAGTAAACAAAGACAAATTCACATTCATACAGTCCCACCTTTACACCCATATGGAAATGTAAAAACACTCAACAGAGATGCAGACAAAGGCAGACACAGGTCTAAGGACCAATCTCTCACAGGTGCCAGAGCTGTTCCAGCCGTTCCAGGCTGCGCATCCATTTGGTCCTCTCATACCAATGGCTGCCCGGCAATCGCAACCCAGGCAGTCCGCCCCCCTAGGCCAAGCACAGCACACCATCTACCTGAGTCCAAGCCACACTCCCCTCAGCATCCCCTCACCCGACTGCAGGAACAGGCTATGCACAGGTTAAGTGCAGGCAGCCAGACGGACCCACACCACAAGCTTTTTTTCAGGAGAGAGTGGCCAAGTGGTGAGGGCATTGCGCTTAGAATCCAGAAGTTCTGAATTCAAGCCCCACGCCCACGGACTAACACTCTGGGTCCCTGAGCAAGACCCTTAAATCCACACTGCTCCCTGGGCGCCATACAATGGCAGCCCTCTGCTCCCCAAAGGGATTGGTTAAATGCAGAGAGTTCATTTCGTTGCTCTGTAATTGTGACAGTGTAATAACAAAAAAAAAGAAAGAAAGAAAAAAAAATTTAAATAAAACATTATGCCCCATTTCCAGCACTCATTTGAAACCATGCCTTGAAAGGTCAGATCACGGTAACACGATAAATGTGGAGTGTAAAAAGAAAAAAAGAACGCAACTGAACTGAACTGTACCAGACACAATCAAACTGCGATAAATCTAGCACTAGTTCAACAGTAGGGCTCGGCACGGTTCAGTTGTGGCTCAGTTCTCTGGTAACAAAGAGCGCATGAGCAGACTGCATCATCTCCTATTAACAGTCAGCTGACTAATTTACCTGGTTTTCTGGCGTATCCAGCTTTGCATTTCACAGATCTCTTCACTTGTTACAACATGAACTTCTTCTCAGCCTATTAACAATAAATGGCATCAAAAGAGTGTGGTGCGACCTGGGATGATGCCAAAACTGAGGCTCTCATTAAAATTTGGGCGGAGGAAATTATCCACATAAATTCTTCAATGTTATGGGCGGTGCCATTTTAGATTGAGTAATTCCCCCCTTGCCTGGCTTTAATGAGATTACAAACTTGAACATTGAAGCTTAGATTTAAAACACCATGTTTGGTTGAAAAATATGAGAGCACATTATTTCAAACGCAACATCCCTTAGTCAAACATGGCGGAGGCACCATAGGGCTGTGGGAATCCTTTTATTTAGCAGGATTAGGGAAACTGGTAAGAGCTGAATAGAATTTGAATAGATGAAAATATGATTTATTGGGGCTGACCATGAAAGCACACCATAATTTTCCCATTTTAATTAGTATCATTTTAATACCTTTTGCAAATCATTCAATTCATCTTTGTTGTTACGTCGCATTAAATCCAAATAAACTGCACAAAAGGTTGTTTCATATCAAAGGATGTGAAAAAAATATATACTGGTGTGCATGCTTTTCTTATATCATAGCACGTTTGTTCAGACGCTTCCTTACCCAGCATTACTCAGTCTCATGTTCCACCTATGAATTACGTCATGGATCATTACAGTGACCCCACAAATAGCTTTCTGTCCGTAAACACTAAAAGCACTGCTGCTGAGGGAGAAAGAGCAATGAGCTCGGCAAAGATTAATCAACTGCTCCTGCGAAAGCTGAACTGCAACAAATGCATAAGAATGAGGTCATGCGTCGGATATAACACTGACTTCTATTTATTTTGTTTTCAGATGGTAAATAAAAAGAAAAAAAGAATGAATGTTTGAGCAGCAGCAGTGAGGTTCAGCCAGAAACAGGAAACAACAAAGATGAGTCACAGAGGAAGGAGGGACAGAGAGATGGTTGGCATTAATTCAATTATCCACTCAGGCTGTGGGGAGGGTCTCCATCACCCAGGCCAAGACCCTCCATTAAGTGAATGACAAATGTGAATACATGCACACCATAAGAAGGAAACATACATTGTTTGTCTTCTTGTACATATTAGAGTCTAACTGTTGTTACAAATTTAACAGCTGGTAAAAATCTTGATTTTATATTATTCAAAGTGACAGATTAACTAATGTGCAAACCTGCCCAGTTTAGTTATTAGCAACCAATGCTGAATTAAGACTTGGGTAAGAATGTCATAGCAACATTGATATTTCATATTTAAATTTAAGTTCAAGTATGTATTGGAAAAATAAACACTCATCTTGGTCCTAGATACTGTCTCAAAATCTTCTGCTCCTTTTTATAAATTTTGTACTGACTCCATAATTTGTGTGGCTGAATAAATTTAGGACCAATCACATCTCAGATTACTAAGAGAAACAGATTATTTTACAAATCACTTCTAATTTGTCTCAAAGAGCATAAAATTCACACAGATATAAAACCAATCTGGTATCTGCTTATTAACAATATCATTATGTCCAAGTTTGTTTTTTTTTCAAATAATGAGTATGAAACTCCAAAAGGCGTTTGTATTTTTTTATTATATTTATTCAACCTCAACTACATTCAGTGTTTTAGAACAAATTTAAAACCAAAACTATTAGTTACGAAAATGTATGCAAAATGTATGGTTACTACGCAAACATGTTTTTAAATAATACTACTTTTATGAAAGACTTAAAACACGGCTAGCACACGCAAGGAAGCTCAACTAAATCTATTATTATACAGCATTTTATTGGAGACTGAACCGAAACTGCAAACGTAGACTTTAAAAACAGATCTTAGCGGCATCACAAAGCTTTAGGATGAGGACATGTCTTCAGGTGTGAGTCATCAGAGATAAAAGTAATAGTGAAGATGCATTTAGACTCTTTTTCTATCCACCATTCTCAGTGGCATGGATAGGTAATATGGTAAAATGATCTTATTACGATATTAATCACTAAAAATGTAAATCACAAGATGTAAAGATTTACCCAAGCATTAAGACTTAACAACACTTTAAACGGATTTTAAATCATTTTGTGGCCACAAGTCAGTAACAATTAATGATTAATGCCCTGAGACTATAAGAAAACTTAATCTAGTATGAAATCAAAACTGCGCTTTATTTACCCACAATTTAGTTTATAGAGCAGTGCTGGACCTTATATGATCCCATGAAACCATTTTTTCACCTCAAAATAATTACATATATTATATATTGAATAAAAGTTTCATAGTTTAGCAGGGAAATATTGAACATTTTCCAATTTAACACAGGAAAGATTCCTAATGCCCCATGACCAGAGCTGTCAAATAAGAAAGTACAAATACTTTGTTACCTTACTTATGTAAAAAGTTTTGCCATCTTTACTTTACTGGAGCAATTATTTTAACAACTTTTAACTTCTACTCCTTACATTTTACAAATATATTTCTTAGATTTTTTTAATTTTTGTTATTGCCAGTTGGTTTAAAAAAAATAATAAAATTATCAAAATAATTTTTTTCATCCAGACAGTGAATTTCTCTGTGGCTGGGCCCGGTACTGCACCAACTTGTTGTTCGCCACAAACCAAAATACATAGTTTCTTAAGATGATGCAAAGCTAAATTTGACACTGTTACCATTAGTTATGAAAATAAGAAAATTAAGTATAAGGAAGAATTACAGAAAAATGTTCCCTTAATAGGGTAGAGCAGTAACCAGTAGGTTTAAAGCATCTGTCCTTAACATTTTTTCCTGCGTTACAATAAATTTTATACTTTAAGTAGTTTTAAAAATACTACTTTTACCCTTTTAATTAAGAAAAAAGTTTAACTGCATGACTGATTTTTGTTTTTTTTATATAAACCTGCTGCCGTCTAAGGCTGGACAGAAGGAGGTCTCTAATAAATGCATATTGACAGAGTAGATGGAAAAATGCACTCAGTTCAATCAGAATGTGTCTTAGACATAAAACCAGGTAACAGATTATCTATATTCATCTAAAAGTGAGTTGTATTCCTAACTCTTTATTATAGAGGATGTAGAGTGTTTTTACTAAATAACCTTCATCTGCTGTTAATCAGAGATGCACAGATTTCTTTAGGGTTTGATAAGCCGATTCATATTTTAACCAATTCTGATCTTTTATTTCCAAAGATTATAACATATGAAAAATAACTACAAAGTGCTGATGGCAGAATCTTTGAATCCAACAGAAAATGAATGAAAATTAATGAATTACTGCTCTCATTTACAGATCAGAGGAATTGCAAATGATTTTTACTTTTCAAAAACATGGGAAAACTGTCCCCTTCAATCTAAGACCAGTTGATTGGTGCATGGCAGTAACACACAAACACACAATCAATCCTCATCAGATGTGCAGCATCTGTACAGGTGATGAGGCTTGTCTGTCTTCTAGTCCATTTTGCAGCCTCCATTCACAAGAGACTCACACGAAAAAAGGTCATTAATCTTTATCTGCGCAGACTTGCTTCCCTCTCCAAACAAATTTTCTATTTTTTTCTTTAGCAGCATCTTCAGTCTCTCTCTCCCCTCATCCTCAAGTTTC